ATGAAAGGGGCATACAGCCCATTATAATACAGTTCAGTAAGTGTTACATCTGTTTAAAAGTGGTGTGTCCACTCCTTCAGATTCCAGATGTATCAAAGACATAAATATTAAAAATGGGACTATATAAATACAAGAAAAAAGTTGAGAAATTTTATGTATAGTCTAAGAGTAAGGAAGACCTAAGTTTGACACAAAACTCAGAAGCTATGAAAGAAAGCTTGATAATACAGCCTCATAAAAACAAAAACTGTAATATATAATAATAATGCCTACATGGCCAGACATCTTAACAAAGTCTCCCATCCAAGTACTAAGCAAGCCCAACTCTGCTTACTAGCTTCTAGGATCAGATGAGATCGAGCGCGTTCGGGGTGGTATGACCATAGACCATAAACAAAGTCAAAAGAGAAAAAGTGAGGGGAAATTATAAAATAAATCCCAAAGAACTAATTTTCTTAATAGATAAAGAGTTCCTACAAATCAATAAAAAAAAAAAAACCATACCAGAAAAGTAGATAGTTAACTGAAAAGGAAATAAACATTATCTGAACCCTGTATTATTGAAAATTTCAAATTTTAAAAAGGAAAAAGAATAGCATAATAAACTAATATACTTATTGAAAAGTTCTTTGATTAATGCCTTTCTTCCTCTCTGGACTTTAAACTCTCTAAGGACAGGGACTATGCCTTATTTCTTTGGCGTTTCAGCCCAGTGTCTGGTCCATGGTAGATATTCAACATATCTGGGAATTCATTCTTTCACTCAACAAATATTGGGTCAGGTGGGCATTGTGCTACATTCTGGAGATAGGGTGCTGAGCAAGGCAAACTCATTCACTTTCAAGGCTTCCATTCTAAGAGCAGTTAGAAGATAACCAAACACACACATATATCATAGAAAGTAATCTAATGGTCAAGACCCTGTTGGTCTCCAAACAGGTATTAATTATATTTTTCCACACTGTTACCCCCATTAGGCATTTTCATTTTCAATGATTTCTTCTATTAAAATAACTTCGGTATTTGAATTCTTAAATAATGAATTTATTTTTCACTAGACCTTAATAACAGTTACAAAATAGAAAGGGAGGAAAAATCTACATTATCCAAACACAACTACTTTTGGCATTAAAGCATATTTCTTTCTTGTGTTTTCCACAAATCTTTAATATCCCAGTGGGCACAGAACATGTAATGTTCTCTGCCTTTTAGATCAGACACTTAATCTTCCGTCATTCCTAACCAAGATGAAGAAACATGGCAAAATGATCTCTTTCCAAAAGGAAAAAGGGTTTCCATAGCAGCCATGGTTTCAACTCATTCAATCCCTTCTGCCCTTTTCAAGACCAGCATTTTTACCAAAGCTGAGCAGCCCTCCAGCACCTCCCCCTTGCAATGATTTGCTGCCTCTACATTTAAAGGGGCCCATTTTCAAATAGATGGAAGAGGTGCCTCCCACCTGCCAATCACTGTCTTTTCTCATGTCTTTCTCTCCTCCATATTCTTGATACTGCACCTGGAGAGGATTTTATTTCTCTTACCTCTTCCTCGTGCTTTTCCTATTTGTTAATTATTAAAGAACTTCTTCCAGCTTCTTGGAACAAAAATTGCTATGAAGTGCTCATGAGCTAGATTTTGGGAAAGAAGCAGTCATTAGGCAGCAGGAGATGAAGAAATTGGTAAAGAGCTGCCCAGACTGCGGACCACATGAGCCATCTGAAACTGAAAACACTGCCTGTCTTCCTGAGGAAATTATGGGTAGCAGGAGGTTCTGGGAGATTAGTAAAGCACATGTTGCTCTCAAGTTTATCCTGAGTTGGCAACAGTATTTGAATATTTTTCTTTAATAGTAAGCAGAGGTTTATAGACACTTCATAGATTATGAATGAAAAGAAAGACTATCTCTCCTATAGACAACAGATAGTTGGGAGCCGGGGGAGTGGGGGGGGCGATGTCAAAATAAGTGGGTCACCAAAGTGATTTTTAAAAACTGGCTGTGAGAGTATTCTGGCTCTGCAGGAAGTGAAGCATGACAATTTACTAGCCTGGTTCCTTCTTTTCTAGCAAAATAGCACACCACATTAATTCTCTTTACATAAGGACAAATGAAAACAGGCTTGCAATGCATCACAACCAGAATATATTTAGTAAGATGATGTTGAACAATGAAACTTTTAAGGAAAGTTACAGTACTGGTATCTTGCCTCAGAGTAGCATTTACATGCTAATGATTTAGAAGAGGTTATTTCACTGGGGGGTGAGGGAAAGAATGTGCATATTGGGGAAAAAAAGGATTTATAGTTCTTTTTGCCTACACTCCAACTTTAAGAAAAACAGATTCTTTCAGCATAAGATTCCTTGAGTGGTAAATAATATGAAGTATTATGACTTGACTTCTTTCTAAAATAAATGCCACTAACACATCCCAGTACAGTTTGATGAACACAAAATACCATGCAAGCTTCAAGGGATAATCTGACAATATCCCTTCTAAAATTTTCAGCCTCTAGAAGCAACAATGCCAATCACTTTTGAATGACATTTCCAAGGTCATTAATTTGTGAGTTTTAAGGCATTTGAAAGCACAGTGCCACCACAGACTAGCTCAAAATTATCAGTCATTTGGAATCACAGCCCAAGACTTTAATCTTTGATCTTTAAGAAGAGTGGTTCACCCCAAATATTTGCTTTCTCTGGACTACTTTATCTGTTAATAGTTTGGGCCCAATTTTTCAGATTTGTACATTTTATAAAATGGGATCATGTTATACACATGAAACCAAGAGAAGCAGCATGTTCACTTGCCAGTGTCCAATATATCCTTCCTACAAAAGCTCTAAATACTGACAACAACAAAAAAAACTTAAAGAGTGGGGGAAAAACCCTTCTGCTAACTCATTCCTCACAGAGAAACATTTATTATTTCCTGGGGCAGTATGCTGAATTTCTGCTTCTACAGCTGTAATTTCCAGTTGTGAATTCTGGAAGGGGCTTAGGGAACAGAAGAGGAAAGAGTCAAAATCCTATGAAAGACACATTGCTTTTTAAGGGTACTGTAATGAGATTTGCAGAAAAGTTATTGATCCATGCCCTTTAGTTTTATTTCCAATATACACTATAGTCATGTTATTTCCCTATGAAAGTTCAGTGTATTCACCTAGGGACTTGCAGCACAGGGCAAATAGCAAGCCAGAATTCTGGAGTGTTCATTAGTAAGGAGGCAAAAGGTCTTCACGGAAATCCAGGCACCAGGCAAAGAAAGAAGAAAAGCAAAGTTCAATTTAGAACCATTCCCCAGCCTCTCTGGATCACAATGTGAGTGATCAAAGAACATGGAAGTTCAGGAAGGAAGCAAGAATAAATAAACATGTGTGTTCATATATACGTAGGCATGTAATAGTTCTTACTGGCGCTACTCTACTAAACTCTAATCATGACCTCACCTGGTGCAAGCAATCCTCTAAGATAGGATTATTTTCTTCAGATTATAGAGCTGGCATTCAAAATCAGGTCTGCTTGACTCCAAAACCCATCAAAACATGTGCTTTGAAATGATCTATGGCAGGAGATGGGTGGAAGATGGTTTCTTCACCAACTGCATTTTTTTTTTAAACACTATTTGTTTGAGAGAAAGAGAGAGACCTAGAGAGAGTGAGGGGAAGGGCAGAGGGAGAGACCCCTCAGGCAGACTCCCCGTTGAGTGCAGAGGCCGACACAGGTCTCGATTCCATCACCCATGAAATCACGACCTGAGTCAAAACCAAGAGCCAGACACTCAACTGACTGAGCCACCCAGGCGCCCCATACCAACTGCACTTTTGAATGAAGTTTTCAAGGGAATTAATTTTTGAAGAGTTTTAAAGTATAATCAAAATCAATGTTATTTAGATATATCAAAGAATATAGAAAATACAAATAGAACACATTAATTTTTCCAAAGTATATAAAGTCTGAGGAATTCTAAGTAAGCTATTCTTTCTCCTTAAATTTGTTATTTGCTTTAAAAAAAAAAAAACAAAAAACTTTTAAGTCCTACGTACAAACAGTAGAATTCCCTTAGCAACAGGTCCACAATATTATGATCCCTTCTACACACTGTCTGGCATCTCCCAGGAACTTACATTATTTGAGCAACTGAGAAGACCTGCTCCACTTTGCCCTCTGTTCTCACATGAAATTGCAGTTTCCACTGGTTTCCTTCCCCCCACCCCACTGCGACAAATCCCTGGTAAACATGGAGGGTTGGGCGGGGGGAACAGCAGAGAAGGGGGTGGGGAGAGAACAGAGACCTGTGTAGAGTATATCTTGGATTTTCTAGAAAAGCCTCAATTTCAAGTATCTTATCCCATGGTCAAGTGATATTAGTCTATTATGCCCGGAACTCTGGTTTGGCAGACATGATCTCTCAGTGTATGAGTCAAGACAGAGTTAGAACTGTAGTACAATTTCAGTTTCCCCTTATAAAACAAGAATTATGAAATCCAAATCCTATTAGCTATTTTAAATAGATATAGGAATTCCTGAAACCTATTTGCCTTATTGGCAATTATCACCACACATTAAAGAAGAAAGCATAGGACAGAGGAAAGACCATAGAGATGCATTCAACTCCAAGGCCAGCCACTTTTTCTGTGACCTTGAACTAATTACTAGTTTCTGAGCCCCAGTTTCCCTAATTGTAAAATGTAGATACTAATAAGGAGCTCATAAAGTGGTGGTGAGAATTAAATGAGATACTATACATAAATGCCTTGAATATGCTTAGTACTTAATATTCAATAACTACATTTTTTTATTTGAGTATGAACAATATGCTTGAAAACTTCTCAACTATATCAAAAACCAGCTGAATTATGCCTATTCAGCTATTTTCAGCAATCTGAGTTCATATGGGCTCTAGTAGCCCAAGTTCAAGAAATAACATCAACAGAAGTTGTTCACCTATCCCCCATCCTAGAAAACGTAGAATTCTCAAAACAACAAACTGCATGCCCATTTACCTTGGTTGGTTCTCCACAGTGAGGTTCTCTCCCCTCTGATAGCCACTGTCTGCCACCTGGGTTGTAGACCTCTTCACAATTTGCTGTAGCTCCTGCTCCAAGCGTTCTTTGATTGCCTTAACGGTCTCTGGAATCTTCTTCAGTTTGGCCAGTCCCTTGATGAGGATGCCCATAAAAAGGGTGCTGTTCTCCTCTGGATCCGATTCCAAATCCTCCTTGATATCCTGCAGGTTAATCTCCCTTACTGTAAAAAAAAAAAAAAAAAAGAAAAGAAAAGAAAAAGGTTCCATTACAAGATTCAAAAACAGAATGGGTTGAATAAATGGGATCATAGCTTTGATAACTCCCTTAAAGGAATTAGAGAAGATTTTTCAATTAAATTTGATTAAATTATATTTACATAGTGACTAAGAATCACAAAGTAACACTTATATTCCTTAAATCATATCCATCAGTTAAAATAAGAGGTGGAAGCCATTAAAAACAAGCAAATCACAGAAAGTTTTCCACAGACAGCCACTTCTACAATGAGCCAGTCAGTTCATGACATTTATTAAGCATTCACTGTTGATAAAATGCCATACTTGGGTGCTGCAGGAGAATTCTAAAGAGCCAGACCACAGTCACAAAACTCTTATTTAATAGTTAGAAAAGATAAGTAACTTGATAAAAAGAGATAAGTTAAACAAGGTAAATTAGTTAAAACAAACGACAAGCAATGAAGAAAAATGAAGAACAGCATGTGCAACGTGAGACAAGACTGAGGAAAAGAGTAATGAAGACTTTTCATAAATACAAAAGAACCACCTTCTACTTTTCTTTAAACACAGGTCTACCATAACACACTCTACTGAAAATAGGTCTTGCTAATCCATGTTAGTTTTCTGAGAAGTAATTTTATATGTCAAAAGTCTCTGTACATCTATAGCCTACAGCTTTCATCACAAGCACCTGATTTTGGAAGAAGACAGCCTAGCACAGTGGTTCTTATCTCCCACTGAGGAGCTGGGGAAAGGCAGGGATGAGGATCTGAGACCTCTGTTATCTACTGAAAACCATAGGCCTTCCCTTCAAACTAATGCACATACACACAAATACGTGCCCCAAAATACCCCAAAATAACTATCTCATTTTAAAAATGGTTGGCTTAAGATAGAATAAAGCAAAAGTGAGTAAAAGCCAGAAGAATGACCAAATTCCTAGGATCTTCTTTGCGGCATGGAAGACATTTGATGACATGGTATTCCATTTAAAAAAGTTTAATACTAGTAAAGTGAGAGTAGAACCAAGGTGGCTTAAGCCTCTGAAGATGACAATTTTGATGGCCAAAAAAAAAAAAAAAAAATCATGCCACTGAATTGTATAATTAAAATGGTTAAAATGGTAAATTTTTCATTATGTATATTTTATCATAATAAAAAATGTTAAAATAATAAAAAAAAATCAAAAACAAAAGGCACTGATATTTCCAAATGTGACATTCCAAGAATAGACATTTTAGTTACTGGTTTTATTTTATTCATTAAGAACTAGACCCCTCAGGCCATAGAATTCCTCCATCCTGCAAAACAAATCCCAAATCCCAGCAACAAGAAGAGAGAAATACTTAGCAGCCAAGGAGCCATCTAAATTCAGCATGTTAGGGGGTGGGGGTGGGGTGGGGGGAGAAGCAATGAAGCACAACTATAAGCAGAGCTTCAGGCAGGGAAAAAAGTAATAGAAATTTAACTGAGAGAAAATGATCTTCACAAAAGAGCACATATGAGTCACAAACAGACACAAGCAAAGGGCCACCTGTGTGTCGCAAGCATCTACGGAAAGAGTGATTGGTGAGGAGATAAACATAGTTAAATCCATGAGCCCCTAGATGGTGTGGCATATAGCTACTTATATTTGCACTAATATGATAGAGAGCCTATTAAAAAATAACAAATAAAAGCAAGGTATGAATAATAAAATGCCACAGCCCCAAATGGCACATTTGTTTAGAACCTTATCTTTCTGTTTGTCTCCTGAAATCTCCTAGAGCATAAACACTGAACAGATCCAATATTAATTAATTTATATTATCTATTTCACTTACATCAGCTGAAAATTAAAAGGCAATTTAAAAGGATAATATAATCAACCATGAAGACTAGTCCAATAATTTCAAAAACCTGTAAGGTCAGATAGAATTATTGGTGCTTTATGGAAAAAGTCTTGTACAAAAATAATGTAGCTGAAATTCAGTAAGGGCCTCACACCACAATTAGAACAAAATGTACATACTTCCAAACAACTAAACACCAAATCATTCCCTTGTATCTATAATGATATAGTACTCACCGTGCAGGTTTTAGAACACTTTATAATTAGAAATACTGTACTCTCTCACCCAGTTCTCTCTTATCTTTTTGCTCTGAAGATACTTATCAAATGAGGATTTCTTGAACCTTGTTTTGAAGACCGTCACTGGCAGGACAGTGCTAAATATTAAGATTTTCATGTTCTTCCCCATTATTACTACTAAAATCCTATTGGCCCCAATTGTTCCTTATTACATGCATAGACAGGGAAGGAAGGAGGAAGATATGGATGTGTAGGTATACATGCCTAAATGGATATAAATCGTGTCTATGGTTTGAGGCTAAGCATGGATTCATGAAGGTTTAACTAAGACACTTTGGGACTCATGAAACAATTAACTAGATGGTATCTCCAGTCCCTTCAAGCTCCACAATTCCATGATTATATCAACTTAGAGTAAATCTATACATCTCTGGCTCCATGGCCTATAGCTAATTATGTGCACCTAGATTATAGATAGCCCATTTAAAAAAAATAACAGATAAAGTGAAAAATCCATTTAAGCAGGTAAGTGTTCTATAAAAGAAAACTACCTTTTGTTTCCCAGTGAGTACAGGAAGCAACATAGACCAGTCCATAACTGCTTTCTTTTCTTGGTACATTTGGTAAGAAAATATTAGTAACACACACCATGGCTATATACACACGTCATCAAATCTGCACAAGAAACCTGGTGATACACTTTAACTTTGTCATGAATAAGCTTCATTATTTAACTTAACATTTATGCATGTTAAATTGTAAGAGATAACGGTAGCATTTACCATAGAAACTCCTGGTAAATGTCATGCTTTATACTATGCACGGTAACTAAAGTCTGTAAATATGATATATCTGATTTCGACCTACATACATAACTTCATTTACATGTTGTATTCAAGAACACTATGTCTATATAACAGGAGAACTGTGTCACTATTGAACAGTATTCAGTATAAAAGGAGACTTCAAAAAAAATCACCAGGCCTAATTAACCCAATAAAGTACCAAGAGAATTACATATCTACAATGCTGCCCCCACAGACGGGAATCTGGCCTCAGAAGAGTGACAATACTCTCAAATAGAAAATAAGAAAGTGATCACTTAACAATAATTCTGGTCAAAATGGCACTATAAATTCATAGTTGAGATAGCCAATCCCAAAACACAGTTATACACAAAATAGAAACTAAGAAGTTATGAAGAAATAGTCTGGTTCAAAATTGAGAGTAACACCTCTGTGGACAAGAAATAGAAAAAAAGGAGTGGAGCCAGAGGATGTGTCCAACGACCTCGGTGTGGAGAAGCAGGCCAAGGCGGGCAAGGTCTAGCCCATGGGGTGTTACAGAGACTTCACATGCAACCACTGGCCAGATGAGCTGACAAATCCCCCACCAAGGGCTACAAGCACAGGACCAAATCAAGCTCTAGACCTACGTATGCTTCTGGCCTCATCAAATCCTTATCTTCCATTCATGTCTCAGTGGAGATACCTGGTCAACTATTTATCTTAAATACCATTCGTTTTACCAATGAAAAATTACCTCTAACATCTTTTATTCTAATTAATGCACCCACTGGTACAGATTGAGAGAGCAGTCTCTGATGCACTGGTTGCCCCTGGAGTATATAATCTTGATTAGGGTCTTTCAAATGTTAACTAACTACCCCTGAAGTGTGGATTCCTGATTAAGGTACTTCAAAAATGTTAACTAAGCACCCCTAAGGTGCAGATTAAATTACTTTAAAGGAAACTACAGACAATATAACACCCTACTCCTGAAAGGAGGCTGCCAAAAGCTATTGCCAACTCTGCTACTAGGGGCTATCATTTACATGAAGCTAGGGGTTTTTACAGTCTCAGCACAGGAATAGTTACAACTCGGAGGTGGACATTGAAAGCACAATGAATGTGCGCTGGTCCGCCCATAAGTGAAAGTGGGCTAAGGGGGAAATGATGGTATGTTTCGGGGAAAGGTAGAGTGGAGGGTAGACCATTAAAAAAAAAACAGGGTAGACTATAAAAACAAAAATGACACCTGTTCAGTTTCCCTTGAGACAGCACTTAACATACGTACATTATCTCTTTTAGAGCAAGGAGGATGCATCTTTGAAAGTCAAGAAGTAGCCACCAGTGGAGAAGTGGCTACTAACAATTTTAAGAGGGCAACAGGATAAGAGAAGACACAAGGAACAGATGAACAAATTGATAGTTTATATTAATATTCAATAATATGTGTTAGGCTTTGTAAGTTCAAGCGCCTAAAGAGATAGCACGATGTAGTAAAAAGAGAAAGAAAAAAAAGAAAAAAAGAGCAAGAGCTGGGCATCATAGGACTTGAGATCTGATTACCAACTCTACCACATGCTAACTGGGTAAATCTCTCTCAAGTCATTAAATCTTGCTGGGCCTCAATTTTTCCACCTGTAAAATGGAAATAAAATGTTATCTACACAACTGTGTATATTAAATGAGGTAATAAGACATCAAAACACAAAAAGAAACCCCCAAGAAAATAAACAAATGTACTTTTAAAACTTCTAGCTTTAGGAACTCCTGGATTGCTAGAGACAATGGTTGTTACTTAAGTCCCCATTTCTCCTTATTTCCTCCAAAAACAAACTAGAAAAACCAGAAGAACAAACAAAACTCATACAAATCATACCCTCAGGATAACCTGGAAGACAGAAATGGCCCAAAATTCACAACAACTGTAAATAAAAATAAGAAAAACACCAAATCCCAGCAATGGATCTCCCAGGCTCCTGCCTGACCCCTGCTCTGCCACAAGGCTTTGTTGCAAGCAAAAGCAGGCTGTTGAAGAACTATGAAGAGACAAGGGGGTTAGTGATGATCCTAAGATTGATCTACAACTATCTTCTAAAAAAGACTATGTCCACCCTAAGTTTCAAAA